CATTCATATAATACATTGAACATCAATAATAGAGAAACAGAGAGTTCTATACACAACCTGACCGCTTTCATAAATTTATCAGAACACTTTATTTTATTTTCTCAATTAAAACTCGAGCCCCCCCCCCCCCCCCCAATTTAGTATTTTCTACGCATTGTACAATATTGTCGATACACTTTTCGAGAAGTCATCATTTGCCCAACTACAATTATAAGTACCATCTGTAGTGGATATTTTTTTGTTTCTAGGACATGATGAATAAGTAGAAAAGTGTGTGGATAAAGGTGCCATGTGGCCAGTGGCTCCAAAATTCAGTTTCCAATATTGGTTAAAGGATTTAGCTAAGGCATTAAATCCAAAAGAAAATTGACACTTACCAAGAGGAAGTAAAAACATAAATGTACCTGAATGTACCAACATGAAAGTATCTGTTAGTTTCTCTAACTTACTAAGGAGGGATTTCAGCCTCTCTACTTTGTCTTTGTTAAGTTGAACCAATTCTCCTTATGACATATTGATGGATATCATACGAATGTGTCTGACTCAACAGAAGAATAAAAAAAGAACCAGCAAACTAGTGGTAAAGAGGCCTGTAACCCAAGTTATGTGATCAATAATTATTCTCCTATCAATTGAATTTTTTTACAAAGTAAACAGTTTTGGCGCGATGACCAGTGCTACAAATGAAAAATGTTCATGACAATGAACAGTGTTCTTGAGGTGAAAATGTTTCCAGTGATATGAACAGTCCTGCGAATGCACCATATTTTATGCAGATGAACAGTGTTTCTGAACCTAAACCCACAAATAAGGCAGTTAGGATTTTGAAAAAAGTATCGCAATTAAGACGGCAAGGATTTTGAAAAAAGAATTGCAATTAAGGTGGCTAGGATTTTGAAAAAATAATCGCAATTAAGGCTATTAGGGTTTTTATGCAAAAGCGAAACTCTCTCGAACGAAAGTTCGTGATACCATGTTTGAAACTTAATAATATATTTCAAGTATGTTAAAATTAAAAACACTAATCTCTTTATACAAGACTATTCTAATCCAACAGATCTAACTAATGGACTAAAAACTCAAATATACATTACTACTAATAATAGTAAAAATAACTTATTTACAACATGTATTTTTTTTCCAATTAAGATATGGCATACATTACATGTAGGTCATGTATTTCTTTTATTTACTATTAGGTTAATACCATTTTTATTTTGAGCAGACAACTATTTGAATAATGCAACAAAACATTAAAGCAATTAGTTTATATTTTAAACCAGAAGCACAATTAGTATAAAAAAGATTTATACCAAAAATTCTTTAAACGACAACAATTCAATATAACACGTTAGATATTGATTCTTAGCATTTTATTCATATGGTTGGATTTAAATAAGAGGATTTCTTTTTGCACCCTATAGACTTCTAACATACCATGTGACTTTTCTTATATGCCCCTAGATTCCAGAGATACAGACACACCAAAATTCAATTAAATATTAAAATATTTCGGAGATATATCTCTTGACGCACCAAAACTTAATTGAACGTTGAAATCTTCTGGAGATATATCTCCGGAACAATTTGGAACATATTATTGCATCAGACTCTTCTCTTCCCTCACTTTTTCATTTTCATTCACAAAACTCTTCATCTATCTCATTCCCAAATATCTCCAACTTCACCAAATATTGACTTCATCCATCTGAGGCTCAAGTAATCATCAAGCAGCATCTAGTACATTACTCAATATCTTCCAAATCATATAATTCGGGTAAGTTTTTTGAGTTTCTGATAAATATTAAAGTATGTGTACATATTGTTTGTTGGCTTAAATGGACGATCAGGGCTTCAAATTTCTCATTCTGAGGGGAAGAGGACGCCATTGTCGCGACCTTTGAGTCTTAGAAAATTTCAAAGATACATCTCCAGAAAAATTCAACGTTTCATATACTCTAGGTGACTCCGGAGATATATCTGCAGAATGTTTCCATAGTTGTATCTCCAGAATAACCCAAAGTACATGAAATGCTGAATTTTTCTGGAGATGTATCTCCAGAATTTTGTGAGTCTGCTTTTTTTCTTTTTGTTTTATAATTTTCTTGTTTGTGCTATTCATTTGTGTAAACTCATTATACAGTTAATTATACCTTGTAGGCATAATGGCTAACAGAGTCGGTCGATTAAGGTATGGACGGGTTGTTTAGCATGCATTCGTTCGGTGGAAGCGGAGCCAGCAGGTTTCGGAGGCAGTACATACCTCTGGTCAGGGAGAGATATCAATTATTGGGGCACAGTCTTCTCCTAAGATTCAACCCACTATTGGGGCTCGAACGCCTCAGGCCACTCCATCTACATCTCAGCCCACTTTTGGGGGTCGGCCTTCACCTTAGGCCGCTCCATCTACATATCAGCCCACACCACCTTCTACTTCTTCTTCCTGCAGGCCACGGGATGCACCAGATGATGCATCACTTCCCTTATCCTTCTGCATGCGTCGGGATGCACCTGTGCCACCTCTAGAGGGTGAGGTTGCTGATGGTCCTGATGCACCAGTGCCACCTCCGGAGAGTGATGTTGTTGATGCCGAGCTAGAGGCTTTCGGATGGGGTTCATCTGATATGTCCCTACTTCCTCTGTACCCAGACCACACAGCTAGACATATCTGGGATGGAAAGGTAACATTTGTCACATTGTTACTATATTTTTTACGTTAATTTAAATTGATGACATTGATTATTTCTAACAATGATTATTATAGATATTGATTATTTATGGAAATTCGCAGGTGCATGATCCCCAGGAGTTTCTGAACCATGGGCGAAAGATTTTAGCAATTTATCAACCGGATGAGCAGTGGTTTCAGTCATTTTTGACTGCTTCTAGGTTTGGTGACCTATGCTTGACCGGCTACAGTCTGGTCAACCACGGGATGCTTAATGCATTCATGAAGCGATGGCACTCTAAGACCTCTTCCTTTCATCTCCCGCATGGTGAGATATCTGTTATACTGGACGATGTCTCGTCTTTTTTGCATCTACCAATCAAGGGGAGATTCCTCCATCACAGTAGGATGACCAAAGGCGAGGTGGTCGATATGATGGTGGAGCATTTAGGGGTTGATCCAGGGAAAGCGCTCAAAGAGGTGGATATGATCATGGGTGCTCATGTTAGGTTTTCGTTCTTGAAGGAGAGATTTGATGAGGCGCTCGTTGCTGTAGAGCAGACTGACGGTGATGACCGGGAGGTGGCCATACACATGACTCGTGCTTTAAGGGCATATTTTTTATTTTTAGTTGGCGATGTGATTTTTGTGGACACGAGTGCCACCTACACTGACATTGGATACCTCCGGTACTTCTTGGATCTCACACAAATCCATGAGTACAATTGGGGGGCGGCTTGCCTTGCATATTTGTATTCGAAGCTGAGAGATGGATGTCGGTGAACGACGAAGCAAACCACAAGAAGCACGACACTACTGGTGGTAGTAACTTTTTATCCTTGAATGTTCTTTTTATCTTTTTCATTTCATATTTGCGATAATTCTTGATCCCTAAATGTTTTTTATTTCCATTTCAGGCTTGGACCTCTAGCACTTCCGGTGCATCGATGGCTGGTCATGTTGGGATGAGTACATTGAGGAGATGTCATGTGCTTGTACTTTTATCCCACTGAGAGAGAACCAGGCGGTCGAGCCTTTCAGAGTCAATCTTGACCGCTTGGCTGCCAAGGACATCCACTTTATTTGATGACATATCGCTATACTCCAAATGGTTGTCCTGCGGATCGAGTATCACTGCTCCTCATCTGCCTGAGCGCGTTATGCGGTAGTTCGGGTACACCTAGACCATCCCTAGACACCCTGCTCTCTATGCTCCTCCTGCCTTGACTCGTATACAGATATAAGAGATGTTTGTTGATTATCAGAGTCATCTGGTACCGAAGGAGGCTCGGGCTACCTTAGTATCGAATGAATAGAGCTATGTCGATGGATACATCATGTGGTTCTTTAGGGTCTCACATCCGTACATGGTGCTGGCTGCTCCAGGAGATATCCTAAGACCCATTCATCAGGAGATTCTAGAGAAGGAGCAGGCTCAGCTGGATCATACTGAGGATGTCTTGCCTCGTTGTCGTCGTATAGTGGAGATGGCGTGTGCAGGCATTAACGAGGGATATTCCTTGAGGGGTCTACTGTCAGGAGAGTATTGGATGGTATTATTGTGGAGGCACATGGGGCACTTTTGTACCGCAGACGTCGCGCGAGAACAGGAGTTATCGATGACCGAGGAGGCAGACCACACAGAGGAGGCAGATGAGAGTTTGTCAAGCACACCTAGTAGTTGTTTGTATTTATTTTGTTTCAGTACTATAGTTTGTACGCTTTTTCTAACATTGGTAATACATTTTGGATTTTAGTGACGTATGAGATCATATTTCTATATTGTTATGTTATTTTTGTATGTTTGTTATTTTATAATTCATTTACAAACAAATACATAGTGCGATTTTAAAAAAATTGTTTGATACACTTCGGAGATGTATTTTTAAAAATTTCCCGTAGATACATTTTTGATAATCTTCAAATGAAAATGGACAATTGGAGATATGTTGTGACCATTTAATTGTTCCGAAGATATATCTCCGAAAAATCAATCAGCCATAAAGCACGTCCAGAGATATATCTCTGAAAATTTAGTAGCATATGTGAAAAACCACACAATGCATGAAGTGCAATAAGTAATTTCCTTCCAACAATATGCTACTTATATTTGTTTATTGTTGTGTGTTCTAGTAATTTGGAAATATGAATAAAGTTTTTGAAGTTATGACTTTTGGAGTTCAGGCAAACATGTGAAATTTTAGAAGTATAACATTCTTTCTAGAAACATATTTTACAAGAAAACATATTTCACTTATCTCCAAAATAAAACTATTAACCAAACAATATTTTGTATATTATCCTCTAGAATAAAATTCACACAAACGCTATCTTAAACATTTTGAGACAATGTCGGATCAGAAGACTTGGCGGCATTATCATACTTAGAAACGGTCTCTGATCTGCGTTTTCTTTCAGGATATAACACATAATGTTGGATTATGAAGAGTATGTCAAAGAATATAGACACCTGCAACAATGTTAAAGAATGAGAAATCATTTTCATCATCAATATTTCCTAAAGTAAAAGAATGTTACCCTAACACATACCAAGGATAGCAATAGTTTTCCAATGTTTCCATAGAAGTTCACCCAAGAACCTGAAAAACAAAGATGGAATCATTTTAAAATCACGTCACTTGATACGAGTGATCATGGTTTAACCGTAACAAATTTGAGATTCTGTGTTGTAGTCTTAGTTAAGGAATATAACTTACTCTGATCAATGGATTGCATAGACATTTGTAGATAGTTTGCTACCCCTCCGGAAAAGTCGAGTAGAATGTTCAAAATACTCCATCCATCAGTACTTTTTCTCTTAAAGTTCATCACAGCCTATTTTAACAACAATTTTTAATCGTTTTTAATCGAGTTAAAAACAGGTGTAATAATCGGTCTAGGGTTCAATTTCTGACAGTAACATTTATTTATATTTATGTCTTAATATAAACCATCCTAACCTGAGGAATATATTTGATGACAGTCATGATAACTTGAATGGTACTGCAAGTTGATCAATTTCAACAAAAGTCAGAAAAAAATGTTACGATAATCAAACTTGCATAACGAATTATGCATCAAAAGTAGTTATAAACATACGTGAAGATTGAGAGAAGCCATAGCCAATGATGATTGTTCAATGCTATAAAGAAACACACAGCTGCTGCTGTCCATGCAGCAGCGACGATAGCCCAAGCGATTTTAGATACTTTTTGGCTTCCACGCTGCGTGAAAAAAATCAAAATTTTGTTACTTTAAGTACAATCATAAGTTCATGACAAGAAAAATAAGAAAAAGTTGCACTAACATCATAGATTGCAATTTGGAGTAATGAAACTACTGTTAGTAGAACAGCATGAATTGAAAAAGCAACATCATTTGCAGCCACGGGTATCATCTGCAAAAATCAAAATTAAGAAAAAAAATGGAATCAAATTCTCAAACTTTATCAAATTATGTCACATTTTATGACAGAACAATCATAAAACTTAAAAAATCAAAACCCAACTATTGTAAATTTTATGAGTCAAAAAGCTACTAATAATTAATAAGCATAGTTTTATAAATATCTTCTACAGTCAACATTTTAAACTTTTTTAATAGTACTAGTATTTTTTTAATCAATAAAAATTCTTATACTCCATTGGGTCATTTTTTTAAATAAATATTTTTTTTTAAAAATTAAAATAAAAAATGAATCTAATGTATATTTGAAGTTAAATACACCAATTTTTTTAATATTCTTTTTAAAACATTTAAATAAAAGATGAACCTAGTCTATATTTAAAGTTAAATACATCAATTTTTCAATATTCTTTTTAAAACATTTAAATAAAATATGAATCTAGTCTATATTTAAAGTTAAATACATCACATTTTTAATAAATTTAAAAGTGGAATTTAGATTAAAAAATAAAAAATAAAATATTTATTTATAGTATTAATTATTTAATACAGGGAGAGAGGAAGTAGTATGACATAGGGGTGGAAAGAGAACAAATTGAATTTATTTATAAGAAAAATAATTTTTTAAATTTATAGATTAAATATATTAATTATTAAATAAATTTTAAAAAAATAATTTTTTTTATAAATAGTAAATAGAAAGGAGAGAGTATTTTATTCCGTCACTCCTTTTATTTTCCTTTCCGAAAGGTCCATCTTAAAATGGAATCATTTATTAATATTTTCTTTCTTCTTTCTTTGACTTCTTCATATATTAATATCTTCTCTCACACACACTTCTTTTCGATAAGCATGAGCCAGATCCAAGTTCTATTAACAGTGTCAATTTACAAACAATAAATCCTATATATTCTATATTCTAAAGTTAAAAATAAAAATAAAATAAAATAAAAAAATAAAAACCTGGTAGTATTAGAAATTCACTAACCTCTTTCTCTCCATATTTGTGTTTGTATTGCTGCTGAATCGCAGAGCTAAAGTACAAAGACGCATTATATATAAGATACGACGAGTGCTTCGTCAGATTCAGCAGCACAAAATCAAAGTTCAACCCCACAACACTATTAAAAAAAACAAAACAGAGAATCAAACAATAATATTCTAATAATTATGATATTTTCTGGGTTTGTTTATTTGTTATACCTTTTCCTGCGGAAATTCAAGATGACTTGAGGCCAGAAACTAATAGACCAACAAACAAAAGCAAACCAGCCAAAAGCTTCATAGGAGATATGGAGTGGAACTGAATTCCAAGACGACATGATTAATTTCCAACTTTGCTCTGAAAAATCGATTATTGAAGTGTGTGAGTTTTTGACTCAAGAGATTTATAGGTTAAGAAAAGAAAAGTTGTTTCTTTTTTCCTAAAATTTAGAGAATTGTATATAGACTGTATATGTGACAAAAGGAGTATAATTGTGTATTTTATATACATTTATTTTTATTATACATTTTTACTATAAATGTAAAATAGGGAGTAATAGTTAAGCATGTGAAGTTTTTGAAAAGTTTTTAAAATTAATTTAATTGACACAAAATTTAGTCAGTTATTATGTTTTAAGCTGTCATACACTGAAGTTTGTTTCCTGCGTTTATGCCGTTAAAACTGATTGTTTAAAACTAACTCTAAATAATCTAGATTTTTTTTTCTAATTAGTCGATAAATTAACTTAATTTAATGTTGTTTTAGTCTCTTAACTAAAAATATATCAAGTTAATTTTTATTTGTATAATTAGCAAAAAAAATTAAAGATCAAAATTATTTATAAAATTATTTATATATTAAAATCAATTTCTTTTATCAATACAATTATAAGTCAATATCATTTTTACCCCTACTTAAATAATGGAAATTGTGTGTTGCAACTATGAATTGATGATACACCTTGTGAAAAAACAAAATTATTTATAGAATTTTGAAATTTATCTTCGGATGCACTAGATTCACATATAATTCTTTTATTTTTGAGTCATGTTTTAAATCTATGAGTGAATTTAATTCAAAAATAAATCTTCGTAAATATTATAAAGGTGTATTTCTAGAACATATTAAATCAGAGACAAACATAAAATTAGAAAGATGAAAAAAAATGAAACATTTGTAACTTACAAAAAACGAAACATTACATAGTTAATTGTTAACATAAGTCAAACATTACATTTCAATATTCAGATAGGCATTTCAATGTCTTCACGACATTTTCGACCAATCTCGCAATCGTTGCATCCAGCACGATTAGACATTTTGTTTCGTAACAGAAAAATATATTTCACATAACCTTTAAATTTGTACTAGTCTTCTGCTCAAAGTAGTTGAACTGGATCTTTCCTTCGTTGTCAATCGAGGGTGAACGGTACTCGAGCTTCATAATTTTTTTATTGTCAGAATATTGTAAGAGATTCTCCAGTATGAATTTTACATCTACAAGACAGGTGTACTCGTTGAACTCAAATTCAATTGAGGGATTCGCGTCGTTGAAGTAGACATTTCTGATATGTCAATCGATGTTCATTCTAGTGTAATGTGATTCAGTAAAAATATGAGATGAGAGCCACATACTTATACAATATTTAGGCCAATACTGACATCAAAATTTCTATCTTGTACCACGAATAATTCTGGAGATGCATTTTTGGAACCACCATATACTGATATTCTGGAAATGCATTTCTAGAACCACACAAGATAGAAACAGTTTCGAAAACAGTGAGAAACAAAACATGTTTTAGAATGAAAAATATAGAATATTTTTGGAAACTTACACATGTATAGAAATATTTGAAAATGATATATTTGACATTATTAATATTAATACAATATTGCATTCAAAACATGTCTAAGCACATAAAAACATCGTTGAATAAAAATTAAAATGAATCGAAACATATGTCACCGTCTAAATCTATATTTATGGATGGTACAACCTTTGAATATTGTTTATTTGATTCTCTTTCAATCTCGCTCAACTTGGTGAAGTCTTGCATCCTTTTCCAAAAATGATATAGCCAAGTCTCAACTTTCCTTGTTGATTAAGTTGTCTACTTAGGTGATATCAGTGGTATAGGACATCCCGATTTCAAATAAACTTGAACAAAGTCTTGCATTTTTGAAAGTCATCCAATACACATAATACGATTATTTAGATTTTGAGGTGGGGCAGTGCGCAATGAAAAAAATGTTTCCAAGAAACTATATCTTGTTAGATCAAGATACGGTCTTTCATAAGCACTTACTATAACATGACGCATTTCAGGAAAGAGCTTCATTTTTCCTCCGATGCCTGCCCACCAATACAAGTAACAAGAGATTCATGAATTGCATCAATTTTTTCTTTTTTCGCATAAAGTCGTGTGTATGATTTTTTATGGGCCTTCAACTCTTTAATAAGTTGAATGCAGACAAATGAATGATCCTCCTCTCCTTTACCGAGCAAAAAAAAAACAAATCTAAAACCATAATTGCCACCACTCATAACATTGATGATTTGTTCAATGTATTTGTGCCTAAAAATTGGCATCGCGTCAATGAATTTGATATTTGGTAAAATTCGTGAAGGAAATGGTTTGCTAATGCGAATTCCTTTGGAAACACTTTTTGAGATTTTGAAGTTAGAGAATTCGGAAAAAGCTCGCCAACATGTTCAAAATAGAAAGGAAATTGCATCATTGAATTGTCACTCGATGTTGGTTTGGCTTTATTAGGAGCACCTTTTGTTTTTACCAGATGAGACAGTGGTTTCAAATTAGTGGTTTCCGGATAAGCAATCTTCCTCAATTGCTCTTTTATGTTGAGTTTTATATTGTCATCGGCTATCGAAAATCTCTCATTTATCACTTTTCATTCTGTCAAAAAAGAGATATTTGATTTATTGTCCTTTATCACATCATCATTAAACCTAAGCCTTTTTTCCAGTGAGTGCAAATTTCATCCATTCGTGTCGGGCTATCATGTTTCACCTTCTTTGAAACTAGACAAGCACATGGGAGACCATGTGTTTTCATGAGTGTTCAACCATACTTTGAGCTATCAGAACCTACATTTTCATGTTGTTTGGCTTCGTGAAAAATAAAATTCAGCCTTACTCGAGATATGTTGTCAATCAACTTAGAATAGAGATTGTTGTCTTTGAAACTGTGTTCTAACACTGTGATGCTATAATCAAATGTTATATGTATCTCATTATGCTGATTTTGGATCATTTGGTTCACAAAGTCTCAATCTCTACATAAATCATCCTTACTATTTCCCAACCAATTCTTTAGTGTAGCATGGACAGAATCAACTTGGTTAGTTGTTGTATTTCTAATGTGTCTAACCTAATCGAGTCAAGCACAAACAATCTTCTCCTTTACTTGGTCCAGAATTTTACTTTCAACATATTTCAATAAATATGGATATTTCTCACACACCTTTCTGAAATATATAACAACATCGTCATATATTCTTCCGTAGAAGAATTTATTACACATTTCATGTATCCATTATTCTTTCTATTATCATGCTAGCTTTGACCATTTTTCTGTCTTCACCCTTAAATTTTTTTATTCCTACTACAATTTTAACTCGACTTCTTGCATTCTTTATGATGTGATACCTACAAAGTAAAATGTATGAAGTTAAAAAAATATTTGCAACCAAATTCATCAATGCAGTATCGTGGTTTGTGACTATGACTTTTGACGTCTCTTTTTTAGCCTTCTAACGTTTTTTGGTACACTTCTAAAGCCCAAGTAACATGTTCCTCTTTTTCGCTCTCCAGAAATGCAAACATGGCAGAATAAGTCTTCTTGGTAGAGGTAACACCCATAATTTCTAATAGTGGAGGCATGTACCTGTTGTTCTTATACATTGAATCAATGATGAGTATAGTAGAAAACATGTTGAACTACTTTATGCAATCACGATAAGTCCAAATATATCTCGAATGGTTGCTCCATCCTCGCATGTGCAATAGCTAGATATATAATTGTTATCATGCAGAAGTTCCAATAGTTGTTGCATTTCAATTTTACCCGCCTTTAACACCTTGTTGTTATGGATACGAATATTGTATACTTAGCTTAATGTTTGAGATATTTTCAATTTTTACGTTTCAAAGTTGCAAGTATTTTTTTGGCTGCACCATATTCAATGTCATGTCCAAAATGATTTCCTTCTCTTCCGCCATAAGGCGACATGCAATTGGATGACTGGCTATCTTGTCGCAAATGTCGTATTACATTAAATATCCATTTTTTATTTGAAAAAATATAACAAAAACCCTCTCTGGTAATTTCTGATACGATTTCCAGTCATCTACTTGTCTTTTCCGGTGAGCATTTTGACCTAGCAAACTAAACTTGGTCATCGGTGCTGAATTGAACCAGAATGGTTTAAATTCCTAGTTTTTGGACTAGGGACCTCTCTGGTGAAATTTAACATTGGATATTTGGTGAATATGGGTCGAGGGAGAGAGAGGCTAAAGAGAAACAAGGCGCTGTCACCGTCGATTCTGACCACCCTCTTGCAAAATAGTGTAAGAAAGGAAGCATCAAAACAAGGATCAACTACGGGTACCGAATACAAATCAGTGAAGAGTAGTGATGTGAGGAAGAAAACCCCAGAAGTAAAATCCCTGAAACCCCAACCATGGTCACTAGAGAATTTGATTTCACTAGAGAAGCTTTGGGTTGATACTATAAGTGGTAATACAAGTCCTTGAAATGGATCCCCAATTGAGTTTATTGCTCCAAATATTGTGGAAGGTGAAATTAAAGTTGATATTGAGGAAGTAGATATTGAATCTGAGGTAAGATTCTGGGATTCATCTCTTATAATGTATGTTATAGGGAGAGATCTTAGTATGAATACGGTTAAGCAGTATATGATTAGGTTTTGGAACTTTGTAAAACTGCCTAATCTCTTATACCACGAGGAGGGTTACTTTATTCTGAAATTCAAGTCTCATCAAGAAAAAGATATGGTTGTGATGAGGGGCTCTTATACGATCTAGAATATGCTTATGGTTCTAAAGGATTGTTCTCCTAACTTTGATTTCAAAATCGATATGTTGCGTACTCTACCAGTTTGGATAAAACTTCCTAATCACCCTATTCATCTATGGGGTGTGAGAAGCTTAAGCAAGATAGGCAGTGCTCTAGGTGTTCCCTTGTTTATAGATCAGTGTACTGCAAACAACTAAGGGTATCCTATGATATAATTCTTGTTGAGATAGACATCATACAGAAACAAAAGATTACATCATGATTATGGATAATGAAG